CCCGCGCCGCGCGCGCCGCCGCCTCCAGCGCCGCCCGCGTGTCTCTTGCAGAGCCGCCGCGCCAAAATGCACCGCACCACCCGGATCAAAATCACCGAGCTCAACCCGCACCTCATGTGCGTGCTCTGCGGCGGCTACTTCATCGACGCCACCACCATCATCGAGTGCCTGCACTCCTGTGAGTAGCGGCGCGCGCCCCGCGCAGCGCCCCGCGCCGCGCTGACACCGGCCCCGCGCTCTTTGTTGAACTCCCGGTGTACGTACCCGGCGCGTCTCCTTTTCATGTTAATTGCGGCTTATTTGGGTATTTGTTTAGCCGGAGCAGCGCGCTGCGCACAAAGGGCGCTTCGGCGGCTCGCGCAGCGCGGCGCTCCGGGCCGCGCTCCGAGCGCGTCGCGGTGTCACCGCGGCCGGCACTGAGCGCCCCGCGTGTCCCCCTTGCAGTCTGCAAGACGTGCATCGTGCGCTACTTGGAGACCAGCAAGTACTGCCCCATTTGCGATGTCCAAGTGCACAAAACTCGGCCGCTCTTGAATATAAGGTAGGCGAAAGGCGAAGTGCCCGGCGCGTATGTCCTGTTGTGCCTGATAAGGAGGGACTGGCAGGAATTGTGCTGATGTTATCTCCCCATCGCTGATTTAAATCTGAAAGGACTTGTCAGTTTACAAGCTAACCTGTGCGTATGCTCCCTCTTTGGAGTTTTGTCATTGATGGAAACGGGAGATTTCACTGGAGGAGAGGCTGGAAGTTGTTGYTGGGCTTTTTCTTTATGCTGGTTTTGCCAAAGTCGGCCCCGACGCGACGCCTTCTCCCTCTCCTGCCTTTCCAAGCACTCGATCCCACAGATTCTGTCCCCACTCTATGTTTTCCACAGAAAACATTTCATAGACCGTAGTAGTCAAGCCATAGACCGTAGTAGTGAAACCTCTTGCTCAAAACTAGTAGTCTTTAAAGCAAACTTCTTATTTCAGGAGCATTATTTTTTTTTCCAGTGCTACTTTGCAGTGCTCTGTCTTTTCCTTTGGAAGGGGGAGGGAAACGTGTTTTTTTAAAGGCCTTTCTTCAATTTGGGAGAATTAATTTTCAATMGCTGTGTCACAACTGATTGTTTTTTTCCAGTTTTATAGCAGTGTTTAAAGAAGAGTTGCTTTGATTATTAGGTTTGTCACTTAACTTCTGAGGAGTAGCACTCCTTCCCCTTAGTAGAAATGGGCTCATTGAGACATTGCAAACAAGGAGCTGCCACTTGGATTAAAATATTGCTGCTTCTGCTTAATTTTATTTTCCAGGTCGGATAAAACGCTGCAAGATATTGTATACAAGCTAGTGCCAGGCCTTTTCAAAAGTAAGTAGTTAAAAATTCAGAAAAAAACCCAAGGACAGGACTGCTATCCTGTATCCTTATCTGGAGTTACAGTGTATATACTAAARGAAAAATAATGTGCTTTTCCATTTAGATGAAATGAAAAGAAGAAGGGATTTTTATGCTGCTCATCCGTCAGCTGATGGTAATAGCTTCTCGTTCACAACTTTATATAAAATAGTACAGACCTAGGTGTTTTGCTGTTTCCTTTTTAACGTAAAAATTATATACTTCCATGAATGCATTTTAAGAAGTATGTTCAGCATAATCAAAGTTACCATTTTAGCTGTTTGGTAGATTTAATTTATAATCTTAGTGTGGAGATTTTTTTTTCTTGTTACTGAGAATTGCCATTCTTCCTGATTTGAATTTCAAAATGTAAATTATTGTGGAAATTTCTGCGCAGCTGCCAATGGCTCTAATGAAGACAGGGGAGAAGTGGCTGACGAAGACAAAAGAATTATAACAGACGACGAGATAATAAGCTTATCCATTGAATTCTTTGACCAGAATAGGCAAGTTCCAGAATGGCAATATTTTATGTTTATCTGACTCTTAGCTGCTCTCTTCATTATTTGTTGTAATTGTTTCATTCCTTTTCACAGGCTGGAGCGAAAAGGAAATAAGGAGAAAGAAAAATCAAAGGAAGAGGTAAATAACTTCTCTTTGCTTAGAGGAAACATAGCACACGTAAACTTCTTTTGAGCAGGTTTGTGGTTGAACACTATTTATTGATCAAAATATAACAAAAGAAGCACACATGCTATTATGGTACCAAGTACAGAAGAGGTGAAGGAGGTTCTTACATTATATATGAAGAACCTTAAGAAAAAGATGCAATATTAATTTTGAAGTTGAATCTGGTTTTTTTTGCAGTCTTAAAAAAAACAAAAAATATATATTCCAAAAAAGAGCTTTAGTATGAGTGTAAATCTGTTGATGCATAAAATTACTTTTTTAAAAATTATTTTCTTTGAAACTGCAATTTTTCTATTACTTCTTATTTTTTTTAAGCTGGCCTCAAAATCATTACATTATAGTTGATAATTTAGCAACATGTGTACATTTAAAAATTCACATAGGATATTAGAGTATAAGTTGGGGGGAAGTAATYGCTTATTCTCAGTTGACTGGTTTTCTTTAATGTATCACTAGGTGAATGACAAAAGATACTTACGCTGCCCRGCAGCAATGACTGTGATGCATCTAAGGAAGTTCCTGCGGAGTAAAATGGACATACCGAATACTTTCCAGGTACCTAAGAGAAAACAGTGGTTTTTTTTTTCATTTTTCTTTTTTTTTCTCTCTTTTTTTTCCTTTTTTTTTTTTTTTTTTTTTTTTTTTTTTTTTTTTTTTTTTTTTTTTGTTGTAGTAGTAGTAGACTCAATATTCAGAAGCTGCGAAAGCTGGCCAACGCTTTTCTTAAATTAGTTTACATTTTTAATTGCTTGTTTGAGTGAGTTTCATCAAGCAATAACCACTGAGTGCTTACAAAGTATACAGTGCTAATGGAAACGTATTTTAAAATATCTCACAGAAGAGTTTGGTGACTTTTGCTGTTACTTTTTCATGCTGTGCATATTGAGGCATCAAGAAATTGTACCCTAATGTATTTAAAAAACTACCTAGTGCTTGCAAAAATCCTCTTTGCTGATGCCTTTTTTTTTTTTTTTTTTTTTTTTTTTTTTTTTTTTTTTTTTTGGTGAGACAATTTTTAAAGTTTCTGAACCACCGATTTGAGGCCCCTTCCACCACTAAACAAATAAATAAATAGATAAATAGATAAATAAAGGCATATGTAAGTAGTAAATACCTGTCTTCACCAGATCGATGTGATGTACGAGGAGGAGCCGCTGAAGGACTACTACACACTAATGGACATCGCCTACATCTACACTTGGAGACGGGTGAGTAGCGGCGGCCGCCGGCGCTCCGGGCCGTGCGCGAGGCCGCTCACGGGCTCCCCGCTTTGCCTTGCAGAACGGGCCGCTGCCCCTCAAGTACCGGGTGCGACCCACTTGCAAGAGAATGAAGATCGGCCACCAGCGGGAGGGCTTGAATAACAGCGGGGAGCTGGAAAGTGACTCTGGGAGCGACAAGGCGAGCAGCCCGGCCGGGGGCCTCCCCTCCACCTCCTCGTGCCTGCCCAGCCCCAGCACCCCGGTGCAGTCTCCTCACCCGCAGTTCCCGCACATCTCCAGCACCATGAATGGCACCAGCAGCAGCCCCAGCAGTAACCACCAATCCTCCTTCAGCAACAGAGCGCGGAAAACCTCCGTAAACGGCTCCTCGGCCACCTCCTCCGGCTGACTCGCCCGTGAGCCGCCCGCCCCTTGTTTATATAGATCTCTTCATGCCGTTACAGCTTTATAGATGCTAATACATGTGACTATCGTCCAAATTGCTTTCTTTTGTAGTGACACTGAACTTGGCTATAAAAGGCGGACTAGGTGACATTCAATATGGACGTTAATTAAAACGCAAGATTGATATGTAAATTGTTTTCAAAGGACTGGGAAGCAAACAAAAGTTACACCTTCATGTGTTTGGAATTATGTGGAGTTGTTTCCGTCCCCATCATCCGGACCTGGGACTTTCCAGAAGTCACTTCAAATCCTGGGAAGTAGTTTGTTAATCCAGACTAACTCCTCCATTGCGTTCTCTTCAATTGTTATTGTTATGCTGTTTTGTGAACCTGTAGAAAGCAAGTGCTTTTTCATCTTGAAATTCAACAAAACAGAAAGAATATGCATAAATAATGCATATATGTAGCCATGTCACTGTGAATAACAATTTTTGCGTATTAGCCATTTTGATTCTTATGTTGCATCTTTAATTCTCTGTTGCTGCGCAGAACCGATCAAAAGAAAAGTAAACTTCAGTTTTACAATCTGTATGCCTAAAAGCGGGTATTACCGTTTTATTTACTGACTTGTTTAAATGATTCGCTTTTGTAAGAATCAGATGGCATTATGCTTATTGTACAATGCCATATTGGTATATGACATAACAGGAAACAGTATTGTATGATATATTTATAAATACTATAAAGAAAATATTGTGTTTCATGCACTCATGATATGGTTGTTAAATTTCTAGTTCGACCTTTGCAGATGCCGCTTGTCTGAGCTTTGCTCGTACTGGGAGAAGCACCGTGTGTGCGACAGCCACAGTACTGGGAAAGCACACGCAAGGCCCGGATAACCTGGAGGCAATTGGCAATCTTAAAAGTTTTTTACTGGCTTTGTCTTTTTGCAAGTGATAGATTTTTTACGTTACCAAATGTCGTGGAAGTGATGCAGTGAAGAAGAGAAATTAAGGGATGTGGAAGTAATTGACCTGTTTGATTACATTTTTATTATTTTGCATGGTGGGACTGTGTTTTTTAAAAGCACACAGGATCATTATAGAAGCCATAAACTATTTGGTATAAATTTTAAGGAGCCAGCAGTTGGCTGGATGAAGGCATTTTATCTAAATTGTTTTAATATATATGTATATGGTACAGGACTAACTTCATTAAAGTTTAACAGGTACTTTAATATTTCCAATAAATTGTGGAGAATGCCTCCTCTTTAATGGCCTGCACATAGGAGCATGTTAAAAGAGGCATCTAAGGGTGTTTTTCTTTTTTTTTTTCTTTTTTCTTTTTTTTTTTTTTTAAGTAGAAGGAACTTTTCCAACATAAAATATGAACAGCCCAGAACACTTTTCAGTTTGTGCTTTGCTTTGGTCGAACTTCGTGTGTGTTCATCACCCATCAGTTATACATTTGTGAGGGTGTTTATTCTATATGGATATTGTTTCATGTTTGTACGGGAAAATTGTAGTTAAACATTTCATTGTCTCCAGTCTGCAAAAGAAGCACAATTCTATTGCTTTGTCTTGCTTATAGTCATTAAATCATTACTTTTGCATATAAATTGCTGTTATTTGTCCTGCTTGTTTTTATAGACCAGGTGATTGCAAATCCTCCACAAGGTTATTGCTTATTGATGTATAATGTCTTGTTAAACAAGAGTTGATATTTTTTTCCTGTAGTAAACATGTACAGTTCAATTTCAACAGTAAAAAACTTCAGTTTTATATACACGAATAACTTTCATTTATAGTTGATCAAAGAAATAAACAAATAAAAGGGATAATTCATTGAAAAAGAGCAAGTGAGCCTTGTTACTAATGCGGTATTAGAGGGCAAAACATCTTGTTCTCATTGGAAGTCTGTCGGGGTCTATAAAAGATTTTAGTGAGAAGATCGGTGTAGTATTAAAACAACCCGCAGAAAGGAAGGTCTAAAAGTCGCCAGGCTTGGCTTGGGATGCCGGCCTGGAAAGCGGTTCCTCTTCCTCCTTGGACTCCGCTCCTCGGCGGGGCCGAAACCTGCCACGTTCTCGCCCTGCGTGGGCTGCCCCCGGGCGCGCGGCCCGCGTGGGGACGGCAGCGCGGCGGCTCCACGGGCCGCGTGGCGCCCGTCCCGCTCGGGACGGATCCCGGAGCATCCCTGGAGCTCCATACGTTGTAACGGGAAGATGCCCGTCCGGGCGGCCGCGTGGGTGTCTTGGCAGGGTTCCCTCGGCTATAGGGGCTATTTATACCGCTCCGTGCGGGTTGATTCACACAAAGAGCAGCGCTGAGCCTGGAGCGGGACTGGACGCACTAATCACTCTGCGCTTAATTATGCTGCAAGGAGTCGATGTTGACAACTCCTGGCGTGAAAACCGACCCGCTGCCGGCCGCTGCGGAGCGGCCGAGAGGAAGAGGAGCTGCAATGGGCGCTGGATGCTCCCTTCGAAGTCTGCCGAGCTCCCGCAGCCGCCCGGTGTTCCCGGGCCGGCGGGACACGAGGAAGCGTCGGCAGCTGCTCCCGGCCGGTGCCGCGGGCGAAACCCCGGGCTCGGCGCTGCCCCGCGCGGGAGGCACCGCCAGGCGCCGAAACCACCGCGCACAAGAGCGGGGCGATCGGAGATCCCACCGGGATGGTGCTGTCGCGTCGCGGGGCTGGCGGCATCGAGCTCCTGCCTTCCCAGTAGCGGCTTCTCCCTCTTTCTTCCTTTTTTTTTTTCTTTTTATTTTCTTTTTTTTAAATTTTTATTTATTTATTTATTTATTTTGGCAGCTCTATTGCGAACGGTTTTCATTAGAAATATATGTAAATACTCATTACTTGGAAAGATGTGAATTCAGTTAGCAGTAGAACAGAGGAATCTTCTCATTATCCAACACCGCGTTTATTTAAAGCGGGGAGGGGAGCCAAGGTCGGCGGCGGTTCCGAGGAGCCGGTTCGCGAGGCGCGCGCCCCGCACGCGCGACGGGGTGGGACGGGAGTCCCGCACCGCCCGGGGGGCTCCGGCCGCCCCCCCGGCCCTGCCAGGCGGAGCCGCCGCGGAGCCGCGCGGAGGGGCGCGGAGAAACCGGGGGGTGGCTGCGACGAGGCGGGGAGACGGGAGAGAAAAGGAGGGAAAAAATAAAATAAAATCCGGAGGGACGGAGAGGCAGGAGGAGGGGCGCGGGTGCTGCCCGCGKGGTGCTTCGCCCGCGAGCACAAGCGCCGCTCGCGGCAGCCGCCGTCCCCGGAGCGGAGCGCGGGCAGCGCCGCGGAGCTTCCGCGGAGCTTCCTCCCACGACGCCTCGCTCCGGTGGCTCCCCGAGCGCGGGACGCGGGGGACGCGGAGCGGTAATGCCGCGCGGCAGTTTCCGCGGGAAACGGCGCCTCCCGCCCGCTCCCGCCGGCCGCGGCAGCTCCCGGGAGGCGCCGCGGAGCCCGAACGCCCAGCGTTTCCGCGCCGAGCCGCGGTGCGGGCGCTCGGCAGCCCCGGCCACCGGCCAGACCCGGCGCGGGGACCCCGACAGGTCCCGTTTTTGCCACCCAGGCGTCATGCGGGGACTGCGCAGCTGCTTCCCGCACGGCAGCCCCGACACGGGAGCGTGGCAGCCCCGCGCCCGCGTAGGTAGCGCCCCTCGGTGCGTGGAGCACCTTGCGCCCTCGCGGCTTTCACATGCTGAAATTCTGAGACAATGTTTACACAGATAAGTGTTTCCTGTTTCCGCTGTTAATTTTTAACGTTCTTGCTCCTAGCCTGGGTACTTGAAACGGATTTCCTTTATTTTACTACGAACAGTTTCTTTTTCAAGTTCTCCGCACATCTCCCGTCGAGAGGACGCCCCAGAGGAGGCAGCGCTGCCGCCCTGCGCGCCCCGTCCCGCTCCGCGGCCGCCCCGGCAGCGCTAACGCCAAGCGCGGAGCCCGCGCGGGGCCGCGCTCGCCCTCGCCGTCCGTTCGGGCGGCCACGTCTGTATTTAGTGAGCGCGAAAACCGCGCGCCGCACGCCCGTTAACTGCCCGCAGCGGCAAGGGAGGTCCGCGCTGCTCCCGCGCTGTGCGCAACCCGCCCCGCCTCTCYCCGCGCGGCCCCGCGGGGTCCGGGGGAACCCTCGGCGGCTCCGCGGGGCTCCGCGC